TGAAATCCTGGTGGGGACTGAGCATGATAGTGGGACAGGAGGAGAATCAAGGGAAATAGAGGAAAGAGCTGGGAGGAAAAGGGCATTTATAGAGGTCTAGATAAAGACATGAACATATGCAAGAAAAAAATCTTAAGATCGTTAGACATACTTTTAATCTCTTGTTTTCTGAAGAGTTTTGGAAATCAAATCTCATGGTAACTATACTTGGCTCTGTCCCTGTCTCTACTGAAGTGAGTGTGCCATCTGACGTTTTTTATTACATTGTATATCTGTCCAATAATTTGATGCCTCCTTTAGTTTAAAAGTGAACATATTTTATTGGTGAAGATGTTTTACTTATACATGTTCTAGTTAATTCCTTTATAGATGAAGGGAACGTCTAAGTATTTCTAAAGATAATCTTGTGTAGCCTTGGCAAAAATTTGCTGTATTAAATTTTAACTGCATCAAGCACAAAGAAGCTTCAAAAAGTTCACGGAAAAATGGATTAAAAGATAATGGAATTTTTCCATGGGCTTTTGTAGGCCTCCTCGTATTTGCAACACATATAAATACATATGTAGAAAGAGCCTATGCCAAACCTATATATACTTACTTTTATAGTCTCATTTGCTTTTCCACCTCTGAGTGTCTTTCTGCGTATCCACTTTGTAGATTATTGTTTTCATTGTTATTTCAGGATTGTGTATACGCTAGTTTTTACCTTTAACTTTTGTATCCTCCTCCCAATGTTTTCTCTGCCCTGATCATTTTGTGCTGACCTCCCTTAATGTGCGTGGCCTCAACCTGAAGTGAGCCCATCTCTACCTTTTTGTCAGGGATTTTCCCGACCTTCCCTTCCCAACCCTGTAACCTTAAAAGAATGTTACTTTCTGTGTGTAAATCTCTTCTGGACTGGTCTCATATAATATTTGGGGGATTAAGAAATTGTGGAAAATGTAATTAAAAGGTAATGGAATTTGACCACCAACATCTTGAAGTCCTCTTCTTTTTAAAAAAAATCATTTTATTGGGGGCTCTTATAGTTCTTATCAGAATGCATCCATCCATCCATTGTGTCAAGCACATTTATACATATATTGCCATCCTCATTTTCAAAACATTTTCTTTCTACTTGAGCCTTTGGTATCAGCTCATTTCCCTCTCTTGCTGTCCTCCCTCCCTCATGAACCTTTGATAATTTATAATTTTTTTTCATGTCTTACACTGACGGCTGTCTCCCTTCACCACTTTTCTGTTGTTCGTCCCCCTGAAGTCCTCTTCTTTTTTTCCCCCCCCTCTTCTTATAGCTGCCTTTTGGCGATTGACTGCTGCCTCTCAACATGCTGTTTCACCATTTTAAAATTTCTTGTATTTTAAGCGGGGTGTTATTCCCTCTCATATCTTTGAATTTTTCTCGTGTTTTTCCTGTTTTTGATTGTAATTTTATACCATTGTGATCTGGGAAGATGCTTCGCAGTATTTCAGTATTTTTAAATTAATGGAGGCTTACTTTGTGCCCTGGTCTATTCTGGAGAATGTTCTAGGTATGCTTGGGAATAATGTAGATTGTGTTATTGTTTGATCTTGTGTTCTCTGTAGGTCTGTGTAGTCTAATTGGTTGATTGTGTTCTATAGATCTTCTGAGTCTTGGTTGAGTTTCTTTCTAGTTGTTCTGTCTTTCATTGACAGTGGTGTATTAAAATCTTCTATTATTATTATCCATCTTTTCACTTCTATTACAGTTTTATGTATGAGTTTTGGAGTTCTTTCATTGGGAATTTTTGTTATGGTTATGTCCTCTTGTTAGATTGACCCTTTAATCATTGTGTAATATCTTTCCTTATCTCTTTTCCCTTCAAAACTTATTTTATCAGATATTGGTATGACACCCCTGCCCGTTTTTTGTTTGCTGTATGCTTAATATGTTTTTCTATCCTTTGATTTTTTTAGTATGTTTTTATGTTTGTGTCTAACATGTGTCTTTTATAGAAGGCATATTGATGAATTCTGTTATTTTTTACAATTTTATTAGCACTTCATCCACGTGTCATAGAATTCTATAATTCAAGCATATCAAGAAGAGTGGTACAATTATCACCATGTTCAATTCTAGAACATATTTTTCTGCCTTGTACTCACTGTTATTAATTTACTTTTTTTTCGAATTGTGGCAAAAATGTACACAACAAAACATTCTCCAATTTCACAACTTCTTCATGTGTAATTCAGTGCCATGGATTATACTCTTCATGTTGTATAATTATTACTGATATCCTTTCCCGAATTAT